ATACATTTAATGAAGAGTTAAATACTGCAGCCCCTTTACATTTTATCTAAATATCTTCTAACAGAGCTAAGAGGTCACTGTGATCACTGTTAGTGTACTTACAAATTCTGTACTGCCTTTGACAGCAACCCATAGGTTGGTTTGTTTTTAAAGGCGCTGTCAGAGAATCATAGAATCATAGAATCACAAGGTTGGAAATGACCTACAAGATCATCTAGTCCAACTGTCTCCTCATCACCATTGCCACCACAAGCACTAAACCATATCACGCAGCACGTCATCCAGATGCCTCTTGAGCACTGCCAGGGACGGCGACTCCACCACCTCCCTGTGCAGCCATTCCAGCGCCTGACCTCTCTCTGAGAGAAAAAGTTCTTCCTTATGTCCAACCTAAACCTCCGCTGATACAACTTGCGGCCATTGCCCCGTGTCCTGCTCATTGCCTGGGAGAAGAGGCCAAATCCCTCTTCGCCACAACCTCCCTTTGGGAGGTTGTAGAGTGCAATAATACTTGCTGAATATAGTTGGCCATATTATTATCCTCTGACTTCGAATAAACTGCTTAATGTTTAAACTTCAGATATGGCTAATACTTATGGTTCATCTATTTGTGGTTGTATTTTACTTGGGTACCTAGTGTTTGAAGCAAGATCAGGCCTGACAGATTGAGCTGTGACACAAAATTCCTTCTAAAATTCTGTGAAAGTGGAAGGGGAGAGGAGGGGAAGGGCAAGGGCAAGGAGGGGAAGGAGTGGAGGGGAAGGAGCGGAGGGGAGGAGGAAGGAAGGATGGAGAAAGAGAAAGAGAGAAGGAGAGAAGGGGAGAGAGAGAGAAGAGACAAGAAAGAAACATTTACTAAAGATAGAACAGAATAAGGATATTAAAAGAGGGACCATCTACAGATGTTGGGTTTTTTATTCCTGGAAGAACTGGAACATGGTACAAATGTGCTATCTAGAGAGCTTCCCAATTCCCACAGAAAATTACTACACCAATGAAGCACTGCCATGCAGGAAGGAACTGTGTCTGTAAGCAGACTGTTGTATCATTCAAGGCCAACATCAGTTAAGCCGTGTTCTCAGATGGTGCTCCATCGCCTTAATTAAGCCTTTTTCCAAAAGCAAACACGCAGAATTTAAGCTCATCATTTGCTATAGCAACCTATGTTGCTCCAGCATTGGTACAGTCTGTAAACATGCAACATTGGTACAGTCTGGGAAAATGCAACATAGCAAGATTCAATGCTCAGAATCTGAGGACAAGTCAAATCAAACTAAACATCATCATTATAAACACGTGTCCTCAAACAGTTGAAACAAGCTTCCCAGTCATGTGCTGAATTCTGCCTCCTTCTGCACCCTAGTGAAGACAAACACTGCTCTGAAATCAAGCAGAAGCAGGGGAGAAAAGATGCACTGGGTGAGGGTCGATGGCCAGGGCTGTGATTTTTCATGATCTGATGATATGCTTTGGACCAAAACGCCATGAATCTAAATATTTTCAAGTGCCATGATTTTGATTAATTCGTCCCCCTCCTGCTTTATGACTGCTTTCAGCAATTCATGGGACTCTTGCCTTTTATGTCTCCTAAGAGAAGTCTGCCGTTTCACAGAGAAAAATGCATGAGGCAATTTGCTTGTGTGTTATTAAAGCCTCTCTGCTTGTAGACGGATGCATACTCATATGTTGCCATGTTAACTGTAGTTATATGAAACATGGCCTCATTACTCATTAGAAGCTCCTGGAATAAAGAGATTACTTCAGTAGCTCAATACAAATTTTTGGTACATCCCATCTGCATTGCTTTCTGACTCAAAGAGTCCTATTGTGAATGTGAAGATCAGAGAGAAAGAACGGGGATTCTGGTGTCTTGTTTAACTTTCAGCCTGATGCCAATAGTCTTCTTACTGGAAGACAGAATAATCAAGGACCCAAAGTAAATTAATTCTCTATTCAAACATTTCTATCAGAAATTATGTATGGCAGAGTTCCCTGAAAATCATCAGCATATGGAGAATTTCTTCGGAGATTTACAGCTCCCCAGGCTGTCTCCAAGAAAGACAACATATTTAGAGAAGAGGGTAGCAAGCGGGAGAGGTAGAGTGATTAACAGCATCATGTTGCCTTAACTGAAAATGTGCATCCAAATCATGGCATTCTTGATCAGCTGGAGCCAAGCCCTTCTGGAGCTGGGTCTGACAAGTGCCCTCCTCCCACTCACCTCCCGTATTTAATTGAATGTAAGTGAGAAGCAATAAACCAGCTGAATTATGCTAAACACTCCCCTTTCAGGAAGCAGATAATGGCTCGGCCAGGAGAATTTCTCCCAGTAAATCACTTACATCTCTAGATTTGCACAGAGCCATTGAACAGTAACCCCGTCAGGAATGAAAGACACCTGTACTCTATCTATTCCAGTGCTTTATTGTCCTTACCCTTCAAGAGGTTTCCTAACACCTGGTTTAAATTTCCCTTACATTAATTCAAGTATATCATTGTTTCTTCTAACCACCACAAATACTCTTTGAAATGGCTTTTTATGCACCAGAAAGCCTCGCTTCACTGTTTCTTTTCCACCACTATATAATCAAATATCCTTCCACTTTTGCTCATAGGCTTAAAAAAAAAAAAAAAAAAAAAAAAAAAAAAAAAAAAGCCCACAACTATTACTAGAAAAGAACAATGAATTCTGTCCTGTCCATCCACAATTCTCTTCAAAACTCATTGATAAAACCTGGTCACCATATTCCCATGCTGAGCAGAGCACATTCCTGATGGAACCTGACAGTGGGATGTTTGACTTTCTCACAACAGCACACCACTGCCTAATCACAGTTAATTTTTCAACCTTTTAAAGCAAAAATATTCCTCTGGAGAATTACTTTCTAGTCATTTTTTTTCCCAGCCTATTTACATATTGAAGTGGTTCTGCCTAACAGTACTTTGAGCTTTTTCCTTGATGAATTTAGCCTCATTTTTTAAACATTTCTCCAATTCATCAAACAAATTTACCTCCTCTTTCCAACATGCTTGCAGTGCTTCTCAGCTCTAGATCTGTGCAAAGTTACCATACAGACTTCCAGCTGAATGTCTTATGTCATTAATGAAACAGCAAACAGAACAGATTTCAGGATTGACAACACAGGAATCCTGTACAGTACTTCATAGAATCAGAGTCCTTAGAGTTGGAAGGAACCTTTAAAGGCCAGCTAATCCGACTCACCTACATCTGGATCAGGTTGCTCAGAGCCCCATCCAGCCTGACCTTGGATGTTCCAAGAGATGAGGCATCCACCACCTCTTTGGGAAACCTAAGCCAGTGCCTCACAAACCTTATAGTAAAAAACTTCTTCCTTATATCCAATCTAAATTGCCCCGTCCTTGGACGTGTTCAAGGCCAGGTTGGACGGGGTCCTGGGCAACCTGATCTGAATGTGTATATTTGGTGGCCCTGCTGGGCAGGGGGATTGGAACTACGTGATCCTTGAGGTCCCTTCCAACCCGGGTGATTCTGTGATTCTGTGTAAATCTCCCTTCTTTTAGTTTGAAACTGCTTCCCCCTGTACTATCACAACAGACCCTGATAAAGGGCTTGTCCCCTTCTTTCTCATAGCCCCCCTTCGGATTCTGAAAGGTCGCTCTCACCTCTGCCCAGAGCCTTTGTTCTGATTGTTTTTTCCCCCAGAACTGTTGTTAACCAGCCTGGACTATAATTCCCAAGATACACTGGGAAAAATATATATGTATTTCTCCTTCCCCAATACTTTTTGTGCTTACTGTAATTATCTGCAGACAGATTTCATTCTCCACTGAGTAGCAGGCCAAACTCTTTGATCTTCCTCATTCTACTAGCAGTTCTTACAGAATTACTTCTGCTTATCTCTGAGGTCTCATTTTGTGCCTCAGTCTTTCTGGTTTTATCCCTGAATACTTGGCCTGCTCTTACAAATTTATTCTTTAAAATTTTATCCCTTCTTTTTTTCTTGTGTGTTTCCCTGATGCTCAAGCTACAAAAAAAAAATCATAGTTTACCCAGCTTGGCACCTACTGAATTTTTATTCTTGCAGTTGGAGAACTTGTATTGTGCCCTCAGCTTACTCTGAAAAACTGACAACTTTATTTTACATTTCCCTTTGCCTTAGATAGGAAATCTTATTTACCAGATTTAAGCTTATTAACATCAATCTTCCTGAATCCCATTGCTTTCAACTTGATCAATCCCACCTTTCCCTTCTGAAATGGAAGTCCCAGAGCAATTTTTCTAAATTGTAGAAATTATCCAGTAATTGTAACAGTCACCCGTCATTTGAATAGTCGTAAAGTTGAATATACAGTGGAACAAACAGTGGCTGCTGAGTAGGAAGAAACAGTAGTTTCTTGAGAAAAACTACGAGAAAAAACAAACGTTTGTAGCAGCATGTGCCATGGTTCAATCAAACCATAGCTTTAGAGAACCCAGGAGTTCATTTCTATCCAGAATAATAAGAAATTTTTCTGACTCTCAATTCAGTAAGCAATGTTTTCTCAAACAGAAAGTTTTGTTCCTCTGATTACTTTCATAAATCAAAATAATGGTCTTGACAATGCAGCGAATACAGAAAGAAAGAGCAAGATGCCTCTCCTTGAGTAGTGAAGTTGAGTGAACCTGGTTCAGTTTTTCTGTGGATAAAGGAAGTTTTTCACCTTGAACTTCTTAACACTCATTATACAATAAAGCCATCACAGAAAAGGAGCACATTTGGATCTTTTCTAAGGTGCTATTGAGGATTAGCCACAAAGAAATGTTAAGTACTTGCTTAGAGATACATATGGGCCCTTTAACCCCAAAGGCAGAATTTCAAAGCATAAAACCTGGTAATCTGTCCAAATGAGTCTTTGACTTCCAAGCATTTATCCAACGCTCAGACATGGTTATTTGCACAACAGAGTTTTTGAACAGCATCTCCCATGCTTAGCATAAATAAGAAAGACTCATCATAGAAATCAGCACTGAAACAAACCTCTCTTCTTTTGCAGTAGTTTGCATCAGCCTGCTCCTCCTGGACCTCCTGCCACCACTTGATTAGGGAAGGTGATAGAAATTCAGCATCTTCACAAGGGAGTGGGACCTGCAGTATGCTCAGCAGCTAAACAGCTTCTCATTCATTCCTAGAAAGACAAAATCCAGATGTAAAATTGAAATAGAGCAACCCTCTGGCTCTTTCCTCATCCTTCTCTGCCTGTGGCATTGACCATGTTGAGAACTGAATGGAATGGAGTGGAACAAAACAGAACAGAATGGAAAAGGAATAGAACAGAATGGAATGGTATAGTTGTTCAGAAGTGACATTCAAAGATCATCAGGATCATGCAGTATTCAAGCTGAGGCTGCATCAATACTAAATATGGGGGGAGAATTACCTCTTCTGACCTGCTGACCATGCTGTATTTGATGCACCCAAAAATGCACTTTACACTCCTGGCTGCCAGACCACACTGCTGTCTCAGGCTGAGAATGCACATGGTCATCTCTCCTCCTGATGATGCAGAGAGAGGACCAAGACTTCTTTCAGCTGGTAGAAAAGGTGTTTTGGAGGAACTGGGAAGGAACCACCAAGGACTTTGACACAATGACAAGCTGATACCCACATTGGTTTAGTCCATCCTCAGATTCAACTGCAGCACCTGACATGCTCCAAAAATGCAACTCTTCACTCATCCCTGCAGTACATGAATCCCCATTTGAAGATTTTTCCTTGTGATGTTTGAAAGAAAAAAAAAAAAAAAAAGTCATTTCAGATATCCATAAAATAATGAAAATAACCACATTGACAGGATTTGTTTGATTTTCTCTTCAACATGTCTACAAATCCACTGAGAAAAAAAATCTCCATTTAGACATTCCACTCTCTGGCCTGTGGAAATACAGGCAACAGCTGCCCTTTTGGCTGGACAGACGAGCCCCAAAACACTGTAGGCACTCCAATGGCCAGTTATTTCTAGGCATGGATCCAACGGCTGATCTCAGCCTCCAGCCTTCTGCAGGGCTAGGGAGCAGCCTCTGAAGGAAAGTGCAGGTTTTTTTCCCTCTCCTTTGGAGGTGATTATCAGCAAGGACCACTCTTGAAATGCATCTCTCTCAGTATCTGGAGAGGCAGCAAGAACACCCTCAATAGGAAACCCCTTCATCTGAAAGATCCTGTGGCTGGAAGCCAGACAGGGCTTGCTGGCCTCCAGACCAAATTGTGAGATTCAATTTTGCAGTCAAGAATTTTTTTCACTGCTGGACCAAAGAAATGCAGGAACCTATTTCCAAGCAGCAGCAAGGTGGAAAAAAGTGCAGGGGGCAAGATGAGCTTGGAAAGTCCACGTTGGGGGAACATAAGTTTCTGTGTCACATCTCAAGCACCAGAGTGTGGTGGTCCAGCAGACTGGATGTGCCTGTGGTTATTTCCCTCAAAGAGGATGGTAAATAATAGATATAGAAGGCGACAGGCCCGAGCCCTTGCAGACAGAGCTGCCCACACTAACTATGAGAGAACATCAAGGAAAGAACTGGATTAAACTCCTCTCCTTCATAGAATCATAGAACCATTAAGTTGGGAAAGACCACTGAGATCACCAAGCCCAACCATTGATCCACCACCTTGTTTCTCAGTGCTGCATCTGCCCTTCCTCCCCTGCAGTGCGTACAGACGGATCCACTGACCCTGACCTACTGCCTAACATCAAACGCTTGTCTCTTGAGCAAATCCTGCCACAGCTGACGGTGACTCCCTTTCCTCAGTCACCTCTGGTTTAGACAACCATCTGAGATTTGGGTATAAACCCTAAATTAATCTGAGATAGCTCAAGGCCCCATCTTCCAGAGGCTGGAAAGCATTTGCTATGTTAAAACCCTAAAAAACAGCTTAAACAGAAAATGCTCTTACTTGCAGCCAACTTCTCCTGTACTGCTCCACTGTTTTTTATTAAACACCTCAACAACACAACACTGTGTAAAGCACAAGGAAGGAGCTTATATTGATGGGGAGACTTCAAAGTCTGGTTAAAAGGCAGGGAGGTAGATTGGGGACAGTGGAATAGGATGGCACACCTTAAAGGAAGAGCAGGCTTCTGAGAGTCTCTGGCTCAGCCACCTTTGCAGCAAAGATGGATCCAAACATCTCTTTGTACTTTGGAGGAGGGCAGATTCATGCCTAGATTCTCCTGATGTCCTATTTCTTGTGAGAGGTCAAAACTGTTCTTCCTGATGGTGCATACTGGCCTTTGCTTCTCAATCACGGAATCATATAATGCTCCAAGTTGGAAGGAACCCATAAGAATCATGAAGTCCAGCTCCTGGCTGCACACAACAGTGTAGTGGATAATAGCACAGAAAATTAGTTTTCCTTTGCTTTCCATAAGAGCATCCCCTACTTATGGGCCAGCCCAGAAGTAAGCTTTCATTAGTAATTAAACAAATGTCATCATGGCTTCAGGGGAATGAATGGCACGACTAAGATTTGCAGGTATTTCTCTGCTCGGAAAACCTTCCATTCACTAAAGCCAATCACTTTTTTTGCAGAGAACAGCAATTAGAAATAATAATTTAAAAATATCCTGGAGTAATTTAAAAAATAGTATTCCTAAAAAAAAAAACTGCTGGGAAATGAAATAATATACAGCAGTGTCTAAAGCACAATGACATGGGAATTCAGCCTACAGTGCCATGCTGCTCCCTGTGGGCCTCTGAGCTGGGTAGCCTTTAATCAATGACACATGCCTCTTGTGCAAAAGACAGCCCAAAGGCACGCTGGGGTGAATTAGAGAGACAATTTCAGCCTTCTCCTGATTTTTTTTTGCTTTCAGGAGTTTAAATCTGATCTTTAACATTATTTGAAAACAATTTTTGTGGTTTGATTAGATCTAGTGACAGTAAGTAAATAGCTGATCTAACATCTGCTGTCCTCCAGCTGGAAGCCGCCAAGTCCAATTTTAGGGCCAGCTCTCTTTAGGAGTTGGACTCAATGATCCCAAATTGGAATATTCTGTGCTTCTAAACCCGAGTTCATGGCAGAAGTAGGACTCTATCTGTACAGCTTAAAAGCTTTCAAAGCTTGCAGTTTAACACACTTCTGTATGTGCCAATCCGCTAAATATCCCCATACATGCTAATATTTTCAGATAGCAACTTCTAAAGCTTGAGATAGTGTGTATATATGTTTTTATTCTAAAATCACATCCAACAGCCTTTGGTTGAAGAGTTTAGATCTTCTCTTCCATTTGTCAAGTCTGCATTAATTTGCAGGAGAGACATGATTCAATTTGAACCTTACTGATAAAACCAACTAATGGCTGGAATTTGCATAAAAATAATACCGGCATGAGAAGGCATCCAGGAGTTTGAAACATCAGAATTCACCACAGTGCACTGAATAAGATCATATGAACAATTCAAGGACTAGTTTTGGATTCCTATAAGATCACTGCTCCTTTTTCCAGAATTGTAAGCTTATAAAAGGGGTGGAAGGGAATCACATCAAGCTGTGTACATTCACTTAGCTCTTTTACAAGTAACGGTCCCCCCCCCAGAAGCTTTCCATGCTTCACGAGAGTAAAGGTAGCTGTGACAGACCAAAAACCAGTGCTGTTTTAAAATAAAGTCTTCTAAAATATCTACTAACCACAAGGCAGAAGTTCTCATGAGAAACAAACAATAGGTGTCACTCTCAATTTATTCTTGTTTAATTTTAACAACTTGACCTAAATAATCCTCTCTTTCTCTACTACTAACTGCTGCTATTAATGTGGGGTAAAGGCAGAGGGCTGGACTAGCTCATTGCTTCCTTCCACAACCTCTTTGCAGGTGGGCACCTTTCTCCCACCTGCATTTCCACCAACCCTGACATTATGCCAAAGCCTGCTCCCTGGCCTTTCAGCTCGGTATTATTGCCCTTTCATCAGTGTTTCAGCCCTCATTTTTTTAAAAATATATTTCCTCTCTTTCTTTCAGAGCACTGTGTGGAAAGAGTGGCCCAGATTGCAGGTCTTAGTTGCCCTTGGAAAAGGGTAGAGGACAGGCCCGGGTTTCAGCCCTGTCTCTAAATGTGTTTATTATAACAGATACAGCAGGATCTTGTTTGAGTAGACAATAGACAGGAAATTAACAGTTAAGGCTGAAACTCTAGTCCTTCATTCCTGTGATTAAGAGAAAACAGAAACCATGCTGAAACAGAAAGACAATTTTAGCTTTCATGCAGCACTGTCCTTCAGTGTTCCACATCAGGCATGCAACATTATTTCTGTGCAGAACTTAGTCATTAATTTCCTTCATTTGAAGTAAAAAACATTCACGCAGTGTTATAAAATGCTCTGTATTCCTGAAGCGACAGATCATAATGGCTCATCCTGAATATGCCATTCTGTCCCTTCACACAGATATTAAATGCCTGAGATAAATCATGGCTTGAGGTTTACAGAGGCATCATGTCAGCAGCAGCAATGAATTACAAACTTCCTCCTTCAGACAGCAAACACCCATTATTATTAATTACCAGCATCATCTTCCTTCACATTTTGAATGGTGAAGGAGGGGTTGGCATCCGTCATTTTTCATGTCTCAATGCATGGAGGCTGATACAGTCATGCCTGCTGCAACTGAGCCCATTGATAACCAGTCATTCATAAGCAAAATGCCGTAATGCACGATCTATGGGGATGGTACAATGAAAACAAGGAGCTTGCTCTATCTTTCCATTCCTGTATATGGGAGTGCATGGGGAGGCATGAAGAAAACAAACAGGTTTGTGTCAGGATGAAAGAAAACATTTGTGACAAAAACACATTCTTTAACATAGCACATATGCTCTGATCTCGGAGCTGACCTTGTTTTGAGCAGGAGGTGGGACTAGAGACCTCCAACCTGAAAAACCTCAAAAAATGGAAAGGAATGGCTTCTATCAGGCAGTTGAAATCAGCTGGGTCTTTAATGTCTTTCTCTCCGTACACCAGGTAAATGGAGAGTTCAGAAAAGGTGACCATATTGAGCAACAACAATAAGATGTTAATTACAAAATGAGAAAATAAAGGGGTGCCAACAATCTCTGCAAGCCTGTGGTTTGCCTTCTCCACATACAACAGCAATCCTGTAGAATGCACTTCTTCCAGGACAAGAGAAAAGCAAGTCATGCCTTATACCCAGAGACATGTGGCAATCTGAGCTTCTGGCCAGAGTCAAACTCATCACCACCTAGACCCCTTTTCTTTCAGGGCAAGGTCAAGCAATACAAACTGATGCTTCCTTGAAATAATTCCCTTAATCCAACCCTAAGCATGTCGAAGAGCTCCAAGCATTGGAGAAGTCTTCTGATTAATCGTTCTAAGCTCTTTTTTTGCTGGATGACATCATGCTTTTTTGTTCAAGCTTAAAAATGTTCTTTAGAAACTTGATAGCAATAAAACATGAGAGAGTTTGCTGAAAAGAATAATTAAACATAAATGATCTTAAAAAAATTGATCCCACTTGCAAGCATTTAAAGATGCCAGCTGCTAAATTACAACCTTGGCACAGACCTGGGTGCGTGTGCCCATTTTAAGAGATGAGATCTACATGGAGAGAAGGTCGGCCCCATCCTCTGAGCAGATCCACGTGCTCAAATCCCCTGAGACCAGAAGAACATGGAAACAAAACCCCACAACTTTAGGGGAACTTGAGGGTAAGAAATGTATCCGTATGGTCTGTATATGGTCTGTACAGCCAGATCACAGCTTCAA